TGACCCCCTCTGTCCGAGACCTGCACCGTTCATTGGCCCAACTCTCTGCTCCCGGACCCCCCTGTTCTCCTTCTTCCCTCTTCCATCTCTGTCAGTGATTCTCATCTGGGGGGGGCGGTGATTTTCCCAGCCCTGTCTGGAGGTTTGGGTTGTCCTCTCTGGGGCAGGGAGGGGGCTGCTACTGGCCTCTAATGGGTGGGGGCAGGGATGCTCCGAAACATCCTGCAGTGCACAGGATGGCCCCACAGTGAAAAACTACCCTCCCCCAAATGTTAGGAGGGCCGAGGTTGAGGAACCCAGATCTAAGCTGCTGGAGGAGACAGCGCTCCTCTGTGTTGCTGGCACTGCAGAATGAACTAAGGGGCCTGGTAAGCCTGTATGCCCCGATTTCTGCTCTCTCCTCCCTCCACAGCTTCTGTTGCAAGCTTCCTTCCTTTGCCTGGACTTCCTGCCCTCAGCCTTCACTCCCCGTGCCTCTGGCTTCATGGACTGAGTGGAAGGGCCGGGGAGGTGAGGGGTCTCAGCCCTCCCCCTGCCACCCACGCACCTCCCTCCCTCTCTCATTGCTTCAGCTCATTTCTCTTCCTGCATTCCAGATTCCCGTCAGCCCTCTGGCTGTGTCATTCCGTGCTACACAAAGGCCCCTCAGAGTCACACCCGGGTTGCTAAAGCAAAGCCACCGGAAAATGCAGACTCCTGGGCCCCACTTGCAGAGATGCAGGTTCAGGTTATGACGGAGGTGGGGTCAGGCCCAGGCTGCCACCTGTTCAACAAGCACCTCAGCAAACTCTGGTGAAGATTGGACTAGAATTTGGGAAAAGCTGACATTTTTTACCTTTTATATCTTCAGTCTTTCCACCTTGATTTGGTCTTTACCGTTAGCATTGAATGTAGTCACCATATAATTCATTTTCTACTTTGGGGAGAAAAGCAGGGGGGTGATGGGTAATTATACCTGTTCAGTAGGTAGGATCAGGATCACCCAGGGCACACTGCAAAGTGTGGATTCCATAATTTTTAAATGCCTTAAATTCCTTCCATCCTTCCTTTTTAAAATTTTATTTTTAAGTAACCTCTACACCTAGCATGGGGCTCGAACTTACAACCCCAAGATCAAGAGTTGCATGCTCTACCAACTGAGCCAGCCAGGGGCCCCAAATTTCTTCCATTCTTAACACACCCCCTCCTCATCAAAGAAACCAACAGTTACCGTCAATAACAACCAAACATTCCTTCTCTGCCTCCTTAATCCCCGAGTTCAAGTGGATGGTCCTGCCTGAAGGTGTACCAGGAGGAACCCCACCCTCATAGCCTTCTCTGCCCTTTGCAGCTGAACTTCTTCAAAGAACTGTCTCCTCCATCCCCACCATGCCTTGTCACTCCCCTGGTGAAGTCACCAGCCACCTGACTGCTCACTGCAGTGGACACTTGCCGCATCTGACTTCCCCTGACCTTGTAACCACCTGTCACCTGCCACCACTCCCTCCTCATTGCATTTCCAAGACATGCTCACTTTTTTTTCTTCAGCTTCTCTGGCCATTTCTCCTCTGCCCACTTCCTGGACTTCTTTCCCCGTCCTTCCTTTACGTTTTGCTTTAGAGTGAATGAATGATGTGCCAGAGGCCAGGACAGATGGAGACAGGGTTTTCCTGGAGGGTCTCTCTAGCAGCTTTTCGTCCCTTGCCTGGTACATCAAGGAGCAGGCAGCCCAGAGGGTCTCTGTGCCCCCAGGGAGTTCCCAACTCTCGCGCTACGGGTGAAGAAATGACAGCGAGGAAGGTCCAGGGCTTTGGAGGGCTGCAAGCTTGAGGCCTCCGCTGGAGGCAGCTCTTCCGGAGGCCTGGTATTACAGGAGGCAGAGCACGGCAGAACTAGGGGCTTGGGTCTGCAGTCAGATGGGACTGGTTTGGATCCCAGCTTCTCCTGTCTCTCATGACCTGGGACAAGCTTCAAGCTCCAGCTCTTCTCTTCTGTAAAGTGGGAATAATAATGTCTGGCAGACAGGTCGTGAGCATGAAACAAGATGGTACAAAAGAAGGTGTCCAACATGTGACTGCCTCTGATTGATGGCCGCTAACTAGTCTAGCCCAGCCTCCGGAGCAGAGGGGCAGACAGGCCCCTCCTGAGCTTGAAAAAACAGGCAGAAGAGTCTGGAAGGAACTCTCAAACACAGAAAAGAACCTGTGCCCCCTGGAGGAAGGTCTTCATTCAGTCTGCAGATACGAATGAATGAGCCAGTGAATGAATGCAGCAAGACCAGTGAGGCACGGCTGGGGAGCCCCTGTGAGCCTAGTAGACCCCCCGGCCCTTTCTGGTGTTCTGCACACACTTTCTGGTGCTCTGCACACTTGTGTTTGAGAACGAACTTCTTGAGATCATGGGCTGTGCTTGTTATAACCTGTCCCATTCTCTGGCCAGCACTTGGCACAGAGTAGGTGTCTGAAATAGGTGTTGACTCTCCCTAGAAAAGGCATTCGGGGGAAGGGGGGTGGTGGCAAAATAATGGTCATGGGAAAGAGAAGGCTGCAGGAATGAAATCCTCAGCAGCCCCGCCCCCAAACACACACAGCTGGGATTCAGGCAATAAATTAATGGCTGGGTTTCCATGCACTTCAGAGGCCAGGGTCAAGTTTGCTTCCTTCAGCCCTGGAGTCTCTGAAGATGAGATGATAAAAGGCCTACGTGAGGAGGCCAAGTGAGGTGAATGGCAGGCATCGTGACCTAGGGTTAGGCTACTGCTGACCTGATGATCCCATGGGTACCTGAAACCACAGATAAGGGGGGGGGGGACTGCTGTAGTTGCCAGAATCACTGCTTATGTCAGGTGTATCTCCTGAAATCTCAAGTTCTTTCCAGTCTGGTGGAGGTGTGGGGATGGACGGCTGGGGTCCGAGAGCTCTCTCCCCAGCAGGGCTTGTCACAGTGGGCCCGGGGTGTTCCTGCGACCTGCAGAGCCTAAAGCAATGAGCAGCAGGGGATTACAGATAGAAGGGCCCCTGGTTGGCTCTCTCTGTCCGCCCTGTGTAGGGATGCTGTGCGGAGGTCACCCAGAAGTGCACTTGTGCCTACTCAGGCAGATTTTCTGTCTGGATTATGCCCTGCCAGGCTGATGGCATTGCCTGTGAACATACCAGGGACCTGCTGGTGGATGGAGGGGAGGCAGGTGGCCATGTGAAACCCAGGAGGATGACAGGGCACCAGCCAGAGCTGTAAAAGGACCTATAGGAGACCCTCGACTTGGGCACCCTCTGCCGATGTAAGGGAAACATGGGCCTTGCAGGAGAGGGGTCTCAGAGGACTTGGGAACATTTGGTTTGGAACAGAAGACACTTGAGAGCCTCTATCTTCAAACACTACATTCCAGTAGATAAACTTGGGAGTAGGAGCCTGATATGTAATCTTTTATCTTTGCATCTGCAGATCCCAGGTTCTGATTAGAACTGCCTGTGGGGCAACGAGTTCCCTGTCTCTGGACGTGTTCAAATGTAGATGGATGGGACAACCCCTCGGGAGGTGGACTAACCATGAAATCATCGGTGGCACCAGGGATGGCAAAGGCCCCTCCCCATCATGAGATTGCATTTGGTGGGGTGGGGGTGGGCTTCGTGGAGACGACAAAGCAGCCTCTTCCCTGGGTGGTGACCAGTCCTTTCCTCCATGGACTGCTCAGGAAACGGGCTCCCTCTGAGCATTATTGGAGGTAGGACCGTGGCTGCTACCCAGTGGACCCTCCAGCACCGAGACCCTCCCTCCCAGCTGTAGCCATCTTTCCGCTAATGGGGCTGTACCACTGACCAGTCAGCTCTTTTCATTCTCCAGAAACTTCCTCTCTTTCCTTTCACCTGCTCTGTGGACATAAGCCCTGGGCTCCTCCGTACCTCCACACAGCCAGGCCAGGTCAGGGACCCGTGGACCCAGACCCAGCCTCCTGATTCCAGATCCTGGCTGGCCCCAGAGGTCTTCAGTGTGGGCCGCAGCTGGGTTTCCCTAGACGTCCGCCTTCATCACCCTGCTGGGCGCTTTTCTTGCCCCTTTGGAGAGAGGCTCCTCCCCTTGCCCTGGGACCCTACGGGAGAGTCACACCTTGCCTGCCTTCTCACCCACCTGGCATGGGAGGAGGGACTTTCATTTTGGGAAACATTTGACCCTTCACAGTGATCTGGTCATGTTGATAGTGCTCCCTTGACTCTGGGGGTGAGGCAGGGATGCCGAGAGCTTGAAATGTAGGGTTAAGAAGTTACCGGGGATGCACAGCGCTGGGGTTGGAAGGCCCCCTCATGCTGCCTCACGGAGACATAGTCTCTGGGGCCAGGTGGCACTGGGAAGCCAGCCTGCTGAAGGACTACGAAGGGACAGGAGGGAGGGGGCCTAGAGCCACTTTCCAAATGTGCCCTGGGCCAGAGGCAAACCCCAGGGGGCAGCCTTTTGTCACCAGCCCTGCCTCTTGCCCTGGCCAGGTACCTTGCTTGGCATGCTAGGCCCAGTCTCGGTAATGGTGGCCCATGGGGAAAGCTCCAAGCTTGGGCTTACCGGAAGCCCCAGTGGGGCTGGGTGAAATGGGTTATCAGGTCACTGCACTGAGGGTGTCCAGTCTGGGGCCCGGCACACCCAGACTTTCACTTGTAGCCACCATGTGCTCTTGTCGTGCAGGAAGGTTGGCCAACTATTTTGTCTGAATTCTGCCACCCTCCTGCCAGCAATGTGCAGAGAGCTGGGGTGCCTAATCTGAAGTTTCTTGATCAAACATCGTTTTTTCCTTTTTTTTCTTTGAGGACTCAGAAGGTTCTCGGGGGTAATGCCAGAAACTTGCTCTGGGCTGTGCGGCGTCCTGACCAGTTGACCTTCTGGGCCGGCATTTTATCGCACCAACGCCTTAGCATTGAGTCCCTCCCAGCCACCCCGCCCACTTGGTGCCCGGAGCCCAAAGCTAATTCCCGGGGCGGGTGTCACACCCACCGCACCCTCGGCGGAGCTGACCTGCCCACGCTCTGTGTCCGCAGGCTGCTGAACAGAATGTCCGCGGACGACCGGCACCTGGGCTCCAGCTGCGGCTCCTTCATCAAGACGGAGCCGTCCAGCCCATCCTCGGGCATCGACGCCCTCAGCCACCACAGCCCCAGCGGGTCGTCCGACGCCAGCGGTGGCTTCGGTCTGGCCCTGGGCGCCCACGCCAATGGTCTGGACTCGCCGCCCATGTTCGCGGGCGCCACGCTGGGGGGCACCCCGTGCCGCAAGAGCTACGAGGACTGTGCCGGCGGCCTCATGGAGGACTCGGCCATCAAGTGCGAGTACATGCTCAACGCCATCCCCAAGCGCCTGTGCCTCGTGTGCGGCGACATTGCCTCCGGCTACCACTACGGCGTGGCCTCCTGCGAGGCCTGCAAGGCCTTCTTCAAGAGGACCATCCAAGGTGCGTGCAGACAGGGCGGGGGTGGCGGGAAACCGGGCGATGCCCGCCAGCTGCCCGGTCAGGGCCAGGCACCGGGACGGCAGCAGTTCCTAGGGTTTCTCCTTCGGGATTCCGGGCGAGACTCTAAACTCCAGGACTGTCGTGGAAACAGCAGACACGCCCATGCAGTGCCCCAGAAAACCCCAAGAAAATCCATGGAAATGCCTCCCACACGTGTGCCCCTCGCTGATGGGGGGGCACTGTCAAGAGCGTGTCCCTAAAATTTGATTTGGGGGGAGAAACGTGTTCTTTGCCCTGCAGTTGCAGACGCCTTGCAATAGAAAGGGTTGTCCCTCATTGTGTTTTGATCGTTTTCTTTTTTGGGGGGGGGTGGGTGTGTGGAAGGGAGGAGCGAGAGGGAGAATCTCAAGCCGATTCCCCCACTGAGTGCAGAGCCCGCCGTGGGGCTCGATCTCATGATGATGCCTGAGATCACGACCTGAGCAGAAATCCAAGAGGCCGTCGCTTAACTGACGGAGACTCCCAGGCGCCCCTGTTTTGATCTTTTTTATACACAGATGTAACATGATTTTCTTAATTGGGAAAGAGGCCAACAGAGCAAGGGAAGCCCACTCACCCTGTCTGATCCCAGCGTGGCCTGTCTTCAAGGGCTTTTTACAGTGCATCTGCGTATCCACTGAATCCTGCTCCCATGGCCATGAGGGTGGCTGCCTCTCTGGGGGTACATGAGTGATTAGGCCTAGGAAGGTGCGCAGGAGCCCCGGTGGGTGCCCTCTGTAAAGTCACCCCAAGGGAAATGGGGGATAGTGGTGGGTCCACCTTCACAGAGCTGTTACCAAGTTCATGGCACAGGGGCCAGCCCAGAGGAGGAGCCTGGCGCTGGGTAGGCAAGACTCTTAATGCAGCAGGCCATGAGTAGAGCACTTGCGCCATTCATTCAGTTAAGTTTCTGTTGAGCACCTACTAAGCTCCAGCCCTTGTTCTAGGTGCTGTCGCTGGATAGACAAAAGCCCTCCTCGTGCACGTAACTGAGACGAGCTGATGCCATTTCCCTGGAACAGAATTCGTAACCAGACTGAACAAAACCCAGGGGGCACCTGTCCTGGCTCTAGCCCTGCCTGGCTGTCCTGAGGGTGTCCTCTCTCCCCCCCTTTCCCATTTCACTTTTGAAAGAGTCAGGTTGAGCTTTCCTGGGATGACTTGCAGTTTATTCATTCAACAAATATTTGTTTAAATTTCTTGTGACGATGTATTTATTAAATCAGTTGAGGGCCTTAGGATCGGCCCTCACGTTTCCAATTCTACCTATTAGTTGAGACGTTGCGGTGTAGTGACTATCCACCTGGGTCCCTGGGTCAGACCGCTCCATCGGTTACCTTATATAGCTGAATGCCCCTGGGCATGCTTCCTCAGTTTCTCCCTGGGCTTCTGTCCTCAGTAAGGTGAGATGCTGTCATTCCTTCCTCACATAGAACTGTTAAAAGAAGAGTAAGTGAATTAGTATGTAATAATGCACTTTGAATATTGCCTGGCACCTCGTAAGTGCTAAATAAATGCTTCCAAGTATTATTTTCACTTTGACGATACCTCCTGGGACATATTACTAAGCCAACAGACACATAATTTGTCTTACCGACCTGGCTTTTGTAATGACATATACTTAAGTAAAACAGTATAATTATTTTGACTTAGGATTTAAATTATTTTAGCTATTTTAGTTATAGTTAATATTTTTTAAATGAACCAGCCAGTAGAAAAGAGTAAAGCAGTAAAAAGTACATTTTCCTAAAACCCCAGACTCTGGTTCCTTGTACCTTCCCCAGAAGGAGCCATGATACACAGTGCTTTCAGCGAATACTTACTGAGTGTGTTCACATCAGGCACTATGCTAGCCTCCAGCACGGTGAATGAACACATCCCGGTCCCTGCCGGCTTCATACCCCTGAGTCTGGGAGGAGGCCCGGGAATCTCTGTATTTGAAAAGCACTGTGTGGTCATTCTAAGTCTTCTGCCTCTGCCAGGGTTGAAAACCTCTGGGCTCATAGCCAGTCAGTATCATTGGATATCTGACAAATAAACAGGAGATGTTTAAACCAAATTAAGTTATGGAGAAAGCAACGTTTTCTTCCCCCATCAGGAGGTGGTCTTGGTAAGGTTGCCATTATTTTAGATTCTTCGAGGCCAGTTTTTGAAAAATGGCTTTTTAGGGGACGGTCCCATTTTCTTCACTCCATATTGCTCTGAGCTAGAGGGGTTCTGGATCAAATTTTTTGAAAGTAGAGGCTGGTGTAGACTCAGCAGAGGCCTGGGTGCTGCAAATGTCATCAGCACGTCAAGAGCCCACGTGATGAAGGATTTGTAAATAGTCTTAATTATTTGTTCCACGAAGAGGATAATGATCTTTTCCTAGAACTCAGAGGACAAACAGCATTTAGTGCCATCAGGACTGAACTGCTCTTGCCTCTTTTGTCACAAGTCCTGGGTCTTGTTTAGCAGCAGGAAGAGGTTTCTATCTAGAACAGGGAAAAAGTACACTCTCTAAAGCTGATGGCTTGCTCTGGTGATTTTTATTAACTCTTTGGTTTTGGTCTAACATTGATTTTGACTTTGTTGTTTCTGGACCTGATGGCTGTAGAAAATTTGGAAGCGTAAAGGATAAAGAGGAGACCGTGACCTATTGAATGACCTCAGAGACAAGTGGGAACCGTGTGCATGCTCTGAGGTACGGGGTGGAAGCAGGAGAGAGAGACATGGCACCTGCTCTCAAGACGCTGGAGTCTTAAGGCTTGGAGCACATGAGGTTGTAGGCTTCGCCTTAGGCTCCAAACCAGTTTATGGTCCCCTAAGCACCTACCCAATTTAAGGAGGATATTCAAGCCATTTTTTTTTTTTTTTTAAGTCTGATCACTTGGGGCTGAGGGCCTTCCATCACAGAATGATGCATTCATGAATTTATGTGAATGCTTGGAAAGCTCTGAAACTCGTACTCGCTCATCTTTCACCTCCCTCCTCAGATCACTTCAGTCTCTCACTTCAGTGGTTATATGAATATGGGAAGAAGTTTATAGAGACAGGGATGTCATAGCGGCGCCTGGGTGGCTCAGTCGGTTAAGTGACTGCCTTCACTTCGGGGCATGATCCCAGGGTCCTGGGTTCGGGCACCATGTTGGGCTCCCTGCTCAGTGGGGAGCCTACTTCTCCCTCTCCCTCTGCCCCTCTCCCCTGCTTGTGCTCCCTCTCTCTCTCAAATAGATCTCTCTCAGATAGATAAATAAAATCTTAAAAAAAGCAAGGATGTCATGGTAGACTTAAGGAAAAAACAGATACCCATTTCTTTCTTTTGTTTCTTTCTCTTTCTTTCTTAGATTTTATTTTTAAGTAATCTTTACACCCCGGGTGGGGTTCGAACTCACAGCCCCAAGGTGAAGAGTGAAAATGTTCCACTGAGCCAGCCAGGCGCCCCCAACCATTTCTTTTCTATAAATACTTACGCTTGGCTGTGCTAGGTGCTTGGGGGGTTGCCGCTGGAGAGGTGGGCTAAGCACAGCCTCCAGGCTGAAGACTGCTTTTGTCAATCAAGCTGGATTAGGACACTGCCCCACCTATTCATTTACGTAGTCCAGCTTAGGCGCAGCAACAGCGGAATTGAGTAGTTTCCACAGAGACCTTCTGGCTACAAAACCCAGAACATTTACTGTCTGGCCATTTATAGAAACAGTTTGCACTCCTCTGCATGACAGACAGCACTGAACAAGGTAGGCGCAGTCCCTCTGCCCTCAGGGGGCTTAGAGTCAACCCGGAGTAGTGCCAGAGCGCATCACCTGCCCCTTTCTAGGCGAAAGTGCATTTGTTGTCGGTGCTAGAGGTGATGATGACACCCTGCACAGATGAACTTAGCCACAAAAGAGGCACCTTCCTGAAGGGACACCGTGGCTCCATGGCAAAGGAGATAACCCTCAATCTGACTGAATTTACTAGCATATCTAAAGAAAAAAATGTGTGCATCAAAGAGGATTGATCAGCCCCAGAGGCATAGAAAAAAAAAGGGCAGACTTTGGCCAAGGCACCACTCCTAGGAACCGGGAGTCAGCCTGGGGACAGACTGATGTCATTAAACGTTCCGTTGATGTGATTAACATCTTTCTGATCATGATCTAGTTCCCCTGTAGGTCTCTGCTTGGAGTGAACTTGCTGGTTAGGCACACCAGTTTCTCTTTGTACTTGAATGCGCGTCCCTGGGCTTACACATCAGGTTTCGGACTTCGGGCGATAGGAGTTTGACCCTGAGAGATGGAGCCCCTTTCTGGACCACGCTACTGACTTCACAGTAGTGAAAACCTCTGTAATGGGTATCAGAGTAATGAGGTGGCCTTTGGGGGAGCCACCTGGGGGACTTTTCCAGGCTGGATCCCCAAACCTTGACCATCATTATGCCTCCTGTCCCGCCAAGAAACTAGAAGATAGACGATGCCACCGGACCTGTCCACTCTCCCCCTGCATCTGTGGTGCCTTCTGTCACTGATCTGTACATGGTTGCCCGCCAGTGGCTGGGAGAGATCTCCCACCCCGGGCTCTGCTCTTCCCAGGCTTTGAGTCCTACCGCCTCCCCACTTCCTAGAGACTCTCCTACCCACTGTCTCCTCTCTTTTATCTTCTCACTTTCTGGTCTCCTTCCTTCCATCTGCATTTAAATACCTCTAGTATCTCCAGTCTAAAATGAAGAAAACAAAACCGCATCCACATCCCCTCGCCCTGCATCTTCTAGCCCCCCCTTACCTTCCTTGTCTCAGGTCTTGCCCCACCGTGTGGGCCCAGGATGTCCTGCCCCGTGGTCCAGTTGCCTCTGGAATCCGGATGAGTCCCATTTCCAGAGCTCATATATCAGCCTCCCTGCCCCACTCCAATGCCTTTGACACCTCAGGAACAGCTCCACTTGGGTGTCCCGGAAGCACCCCAAATGCAACAATTCCTAAACAGAAGCTGTGTCTCTGCAGTCAAATGGTTCTCCTTATGCTCCAGTCGTCGCTCCCCCGGTGTGCAGGCCGGAAGTGGGTCTTATCCTGCCCCCAGTCCCAAACCAACATCCCAGCAGCCACGTTTTGTGTGCAGTCTCCTTCCTTTGTGTCCTTTGCCCTGATGCTTCTCTCCATTTGCCCTGGTCTATTCCAGGCAGCCACTGACCACTGACCACAGTAGCTTTTAGTCTGGTCTCCCGGCTGCCAGGCTCAGCCCTTCCCAGTCTGCTTTCTTTAGTGCTGCTAGGGAGACCATTCTGAACACATCTGAACATGGCACTCTTCTGTCTTGCCTGTGGGTAAATGGAAGCTCCAGAATGTGACTGAGGATGTCCTCTGGGATTGCCCCATGCTGACCTGGTAGCCTCATCCCCTGCCAATCTCCCTACAGGCTGTGGGCTGGCCTGACTGCTCTATTTTCCAGTTCCCGGAACTGCTTGCATGCCATCAATTATTCTTCCCTTTATTCTGCCTCCCCCAACCTCTAGCTCCTACTTTTGTCTATTAGGTCTCCAGTTAGCTGGCATTTCCTCCCGGAAGTCTTCTCCCACTTCCTTCTCTCTGAATTGGCCTAGGGGGCACCCTTCCCGGATGCTCCTGTAAACCTTCTGCACCCCCCGCCCTCCATCTACAACACTTAGAACACAGCATGGGTTTTGCCAGGACTTGACTGTTTCCCTAGGAAGATTGTAAGCTTCTAAGGAATAGGGTTGCATCTACTTTGATTTTTGCTGAACCCCACATCCTCCAACAGGGCCTGGTGCCTAGGAAGTTTTCAGTGTGTCTCCTTAGAAGGTAATGCCCACAGTGATCCCGCCTTTTTTCCCAGTGAGGACGAACCAAACAAGTCTGGCCAATTTGCATACGTGAACTTGGCAGGGATCTAGATAAACGGTTTGTCAAATGTCTACTTAAAACAATGTGTTAATTTTAGTTATACTTGTATGTTTCAAATCACATTATGTAAAACACTTATGTTTTTTTGAAAAACTTTTCCTTCTCACATTTTGTGAAGCAAGGTTTATCAAACCTCTCACATGGACCTTTGACTAAAGCACCTTTGCCTTTTCTAGGGGCCACTTCTTGAGTCATTTAACACAGTTTTTCAGAGCACACTGTCTTTTCTTCCATCTTACTTGAAATTTTATGAGTAGATACGTGCTACTGTTCCTAAAAATTTCACTTTGAGCTCTAAGTCCGGTTCCCAGACCATTAGGACAGCTCTTTTTTTGTGTCGGTTTACAATCCTGATTGCCACGATGTATTAGGTGCTCTAACGGCTTTTGGCACTCAGCATTTGTAATTGTGAGGTCTTATTCCCGGGAATAACCACATTTACGTGACATTTCTTTACCCCCTTGTTACTGATTCAGTGGGATGACTAGCACTGATTGAGGTCTCCTTGGGGCCGTGGGGCTTCCGTCATCATGGTCGGTCAAAATAAAGTGATGGCCGTAGCACCTCTGTTAGATGTCACAAAGGCTCGGATATTAAGCAATTTCTTTTCGAGAGGACAATGTTTGTGGGGCGGACACGCCTGCCTTACATTGAGCTTAGGCAAAGGACATGGAAGAATCCTGGGGCCAGCCCTCCAGACAGAGGAAACAGTGATGTGTCTCAGGACAGAAAGAGGGCCAGGGTGGCTGGTGGGAGGGAAGGAGATGGGGCTGGGGAAGGCCCTGGAGGGCGAGGGGCATGGGGAGTGCTGCACTTGAACTCTCTTCTAGATGGAGTGGAAGCTGTTGATGAGTAAATGAACACATTGCTGTGGGAAGGGTAAAGCCACCCTGTACCCCTTCCTATGTCCCCAGGGCATGTGGCCAACTTAGCAGGTCACCCGGAGGCCCTTGGAGCAGCTCCTGGGTCTGTGACTTAAGATGAGGAGAGCAAGTAAGAAAGCTCTGGCAGGCACTGCTTCTGTTCACTGGGGGCCCAGATGCAGGCTTGGAAGGAAACTCTCCCAGGAAGGGGGCAGGGAGATGATTGATGGTTATCCTGCCTTGG